AACCGTCACGAGCACCAGATAGAAAAAGAAGATAAAAAGGAAATCAAAAGAAAACAAAGAACTAACACCTAACAAATAAAAAAGAAAAACAAGAGAAACACGAAAAATAAGAGAATAGGCGCACAATTAAAGTCCTAAACCCTCCCCGGCAACGACGCCAATTTTGTTGTTAGTATTTTTACCGGAGTAGAATCGAAAGATTTGTTCCTTGGGTCGTATCGCAAGGAAGGTTAGCCGGATTCAATTGTACGATTATTTGATCACGAGAACGAAAAGAAAAATTCCTAAACACTCTATTCAATAATTTTGGGGGTTTTAATTATCAGCTAAAGATTTAAAACTAAAGCAAACAAATTAAATAACAAGTGAATAACCTCGAATGATTAAAGTGCTAGGGAATCGGGGATAATTGCTTTCGGTTCTAACACAACTACCGGCAATCAATTGCTCGATTAAGGGACTTGAATCGTTTCTCGTCCAGAGGCTCACTCTCAATAACTCTTCGTAACAAGAGAGTGAACGTACACGATCAACTATCAATTCCAACAACCCATTGACAATACTATTACGAACCCAGTCTACTCTAAACAAGCCTATATCGACCAACGTCTCCCCTCTCGGTTCTACACGTTGATTAATTAGGTTAGAAAGGTGATCAATCTACTAACCCTAGATTAAGAACAACTTGCATAGATATGAACAATTAAGAACAAGCAATTATAATCGAACCTAATCAATCATCCCCTATCCATAGCGTATAGATTTAGCTACTCATGTGGAATTCAACATCAAAATTCATACAAACCCAAGCCATCATCATCAATCACACAATTGAGAAAAGAAAAAACTTACGATTAATAACGAATCCCAATGTCAAATCCACAGAACAATCCAAATCCAAGCAAGAAGTAGAGTTTTTAATCTCCAAAATTCAATCCAAAGAGCAAAAGTATGAAAAGGAATGATTTTCTAGAGAGAAAAAGCCAAAAAACGAAGTCTGGAACGTGAATAATGATGTCTAGGTCGAAATTCTGATGTTAAAATCCCGACCTCGAAAATCGCGCCGGCCAACTCGCGAGTCGCGACTTAAGTCGCGAGTCGCGACTTACATTTTTGCCGAGTCGCGAGTCGCGACATCTCGCGACTCGCGCGTCTTCGAAAGTTTTTAAATTTTGGGGAAACTCGCGACCTGACTCGCGAGTCGCGACTAGTCTCGCAGTCGCGACACTGACTCGCGAGTCGCGACTCGTCTCGTGGAACTCGTCTTTTCGGCTCTGTTGGACTCGCGAGTCGTGACCTTCTCGCGAGTCGCGACCATCTCGCGAGTCGCGACACTGACTCGCGAGTCGCGAGAAATGCTGGGCAGCTTTTCGGTCCATCTTTTTCGGTCCTTCCTTCAGTATTCTGAGCACGTCAATGGGTCTTTTTGATATCCCGGTCTCAGCTCAAGTAGTCCCGTCCTCGATCAACACAACCTACCTCATGAAAACACAAACACGAAGAAAACACGAAGCAAAACACAGCAAAAAGACGCACAAAACGAACTAAAGAGAAAAACGGAAAAATCACCGAATTGGACCAAATAAACTACGAAAATCCTATACGTGGAGAAAAATAAAGAGAAAATAAGCCCAAAATAAAGACACAAAAATGGGACAAACAGTTCTCTCCATTCTGATCCCGTGCTCATAACAAAACTTCTTTAATCTAGTGGTTACGTATTCACCACCACTGTCGGATCTGAGCTTCTTGATCTTCAAGTCTGTCTAATTTTCCACCATAGCTTTCCAAATCTTAAAAGCTTCAAATACTTCTGACTTGTGTTTCAAAAAGTAAACCCACACTTTTCTGGAGTGATCATCGATAAAAGTCACGAAGTATTGCTTCCTACCAATGGATGGGACATTCGTTGGACCCCAAACATCAGAGTGGATGAGCTCAAGTTTCTACTTCTTTTGGAGTTCTTCTACTTGTCTGAAAGCTGACTCTCTTCTGCTTTCCAAGTATACAATATTCACACATGTCAATTTCTATTGACTGAAGGCTTGGTAATTTTCATTTAGAGTGCATGATCTTCATCCATTTTTCATTCATATGCCCAAGTCTTTGGTGTCATAGATTGAGATTTTCATTTACTGCAACAGCATTCAGAT